GGAACCGAACTCACGACCTTGCACTTGCCAGGCAGGCGCTTTTGCCGCTGAGCTAAATCCCCAGCCCCTTCACCTGTTTCAAAGTATGTGCCAAGACAAACGTCTAGGGCAGAGACCACTGCACTAGCCATACCTCCAACTTTCTGCAGGTTCTAAAGTCAAAGAAATGAAACCTCAGGGTGTGAATCCTGCATGCACTCTGTGGGCTCTGGGGTGTAGACAAAGTTATGGATCTAGTTTAAAAAGCAGCGACACTGTCAGGAGACACTGAAAGTTGAGTACGTATGGCCTCGATGGCCACTCTCTTGTTTGGGCTGAGTGACAGGCACAGTTTCACAGCACAGCAACATAGACACGTGAGCGGGCACGCAGGGAGCAGTGGGGGAACACCTGGCAGTGCGGCTTGGCCTTGGCCCATCTGGTGATGGCACGGAGCCCCCGTGCTTCCTAGGGTGGGCGTGGGAGGCAGGAAAATGCATGTACCTTGAGCTATAATGTTAATGTAAATAAACCAGATACGCAAGCTTAGATATTATGTAATTTCTCTTATTTGAGAAGCCCTAAGTATAAATAATTTAAAAAAGCAGAAGATAGTAAATTTAAAAAAGCAAAAGATAAACCTTTTGCAGAAGGGAACCCCGAGACAAAGGGAGTGTGGAGGAGGGGAAGGGAAAGAGAATAAAAAGAATTAAGGTATCGTAAGTACTTGTACCTATCCCCTGAGATGAACATAAACATTATATAAGGCAAATATGTATATAAAAAAATTGAAAGACAAAGTTTCTTAGTCTCTCTTAATCTAGTCCCCTTCCCAATTCCTCATTTTATTATGGTCTCAAATATAAACTTAATCATATTAATCCCATTTAAAAAACTTCCCCCATCATCTACAGTGTAAAGTTCAGATTTCTTAATTTTACCTTCTGTCTCTGTAGCCTTATCTCTCATATACTTTCTTCCCATCCTCAAACTGTAGCAAGCCCTGTGTAGGTCTCTTAATGGACTGTCACTCCTTTGGTTTTGGTGCTTGGGGTTGATCCCAGGACCTCCTGCATGTAAGGTAAAACCTCTGCCACTGAGCTCAATCCCTGGCCTAAGTGTACTTTGTTACACATGTGTGCCTTTGCTTTGTTGGTTCCCTTTATCTGAAATTCTATCCCCCTACAACCATCCTTTTCATGTCTGGCAAATGCTTCTCTCTCTCTCTCTCTCTCTCTCTCTCTCTCTCTCTCTCTCTCTCTTTTGTCTTTTTGAGACAGGGTCTCACTATGCAGTTAAGGCTGGCCTTAAGCTGACTTTGCAGCCCACGCTGGCCTCAAACTCCTAACGATTCCACCTGCCTCAGCCTCCCCAGTGCTAGGATTACAGGCGTGAACTGCCACGCCTGGCTCTGTTTCTCTTTTTGTGTGTGTAAATTCCTGTCTTAATACTGGGGTTTAGGAATGTAACTCTTTATCATTTCTTCTTTCTTGTCCTCCCTTGCCCTTACTGTACCTGTTACTGAAACTTCTAATGTAATATTCATAAAACCGGGTGTGGTGGCCAGTGCTTGTAATCCTGGTATTTAGGAGGCTGAGGCAGGGGGATCACTAGAGTTTGAGGCCAGTCTGGACTACATAGGAAGCTCAAGGCCAGCCTGAACTATATAGCAAAACCCTGTCTCAAAACGAAATAAAATATGCATACCATTTGGTGGCAGCTGTTTGCTTGCGTACCTGCAGCATCCTGTTAGATTAGAAAGTTCTAGCGTGTACTAGGTCCTGGGTTTAATCTCTTTTTTTTTTTTCTTTTTGAGACAGGGTCTTCCTATGCAGTTCAGGCTAGCGTTGAGCTCACTTTGTAGCCTAGGTTCGCCTTGAACTCACAACAATCCTCCTGCCTCAAGTGCTGAGATTACAGGCATGTCTGGCTTTTCTTTTTTTGGGGTGGAATTTAACTCTTGCACCTGGCAATCCAAAGAAAAAAGTTCTTCACGGCACAGATTAGGGCACTTTTTTGTATGCATAGTAGTATTACAGATAGCTAAATTATTTAGAAAGATTATAGGCAGTCTGACAAGGCTGGGCCCTCAAATGGTCAGTGCAGAAGATAACTGTGGCTGGAGGGGCATTCACTGAAGGCCAGGCTTCAAGAAAAGAGGAATGACTACACCCATATGCTTCCCCTAGGGATTCTAGCAATCACTGCAGTGACTGATATTCTAGTTTTTTGTTTTGTTTTGTTTTTGTCCTTTTGAGACAGGGTCTCACTGTGCTGTTCAGGCTGTCCTTGAGCTCAGTTTGTAGCCCAGGCTGGTCTCAACTCATAACGATCCTCCTGTCTCAGCCTCCCCAGTGCTGGGATCACAGGCACACGCCACCACGCCCGCTGATATTCTAAATAGGCATCAATCACCTTGGGGCAGATGACCAAACCTCCGTAACCCACCCCTTCCAGGAAAGTCCTTATCCATCCCCCTTTTTTTTGTCGTGTGGTCCCCCCGCCCCCAACAGAACTCATGACCAACTCATGACCTCGTGCTTGCCAGGCAGGCGCTTTTGCCGCTGAGCTACATTCCCCAGCCCCGTGACTTGCTTTTGAATTTTTTTTTTTTTTTTTTCTGATTTCGAGAATTGAACTCACGACCTTGTGCTTCCCAGGCAGGTGCTGTGCCGCTGAGCTAAATCCCCAGCCCTTGCTTTTGAATTTGATCAGTTTACCTAAGTGACTATACTTGTTGTAATTTTATTGGTTCACTATAATTTTGTCCCACCTCACACCCACTTTGTTACTTCCCATTGGATCAATATTACCTGAAGGACTATACTTGTAATCTTATTAGTTGACTATAGTTTTGTCCCACGTTGAACCAGCCTCACCTCATGGCTTTGCTCAATAAAACACCCTTGAGAAGCAGGGTTGGTGGGCTACCCACTCTCCAGGCCCTATTCTAATTTAGAAGCTTTCTCTCAATAAACTGTTCCTACTCTTACTCTCTGTTGTTCCTAGAATTCATTCCTCGATTTTAGAGAACATGAACTTGGCATTTCAGACATCTAGCAGGTTGGGAGTTATAATATTTCCCTTATATTATTTGGATTATTAGGTGATTGTATATTATACCGCCTATATCAGTAGTAATATGTTTCTTATACTTGGCATAAAATAAAAGCAGATGTTTTTTTGTTTTGTTTTTCGTTTGTTGCTTTTTGGTTCCGAGAATTGAACTCAGGACTTTGCACTTGCCAGGCAGGCACTTGTGCCACTGAGCTATATCCCTGGCCCTGCAGATGGTCTTGATATGTAATTCAGGCTGGTCTTGAACTCACTGTGTAGCCCAGGCTGTTCTCAGACTTGACTCAGTGTTCTTTCTGCCTCAGCCTCCCAACTGCAGGAATTATAGGCATGTGCTGTCATGCCTTACTGGCTATGTTTAATTCATTTTCTTTGTTTTTGTTTTTGTTTTTTTGAGACAGGGTCTCCTGTGTAGGGGTGTGCCACCTCACCTGGTTTGAGAAATCTTTGTCTGATTAATTAATGGCTGTGCTCTTTGGGTACACAACATTGTGTTTTGCTGCTTGTACCACAGGTGTTTCAGTTGTTAGTACAAAACATTTGTGGAAACCGGGTGTGGTGGTGCACTCCTGTAGTCCCAGCACTTGGGAGGCTGCTGCAGGAGGATGGCCACAAATTCAAGGCCAGCCTGGACTACATGGTAAGATCCTGTCTCAAAACAAACCAAACCAAATCAAAGCAAACATTTCTGGCCTGGCAGGCATCCTAGTCTCAAGGGTAAAGCTTAGTAATGTTTTAAAATCTATGTGCTGTAGGTATCTTTTTGTTTAGCCAAACAAAAATTCTGTGATTTTATTCATACTTTTGGCAGATATTTATTCAGCTACTACAGTGAAACCAGGCCCTCCTCTAGGCCCTGAAGTTATAGCAGCAGTGAGTAAAACAGACAGGCCCTGGCCCTCATAGGGAATCCATCCAGTAAGCACAATTAGCACGCAAGGAGATTCCTGCAGTAGGATGCTGGGTAGGGGAAAGTGCTTCTAGGAAGTGGTATTTGCTCCTTTTGAAAGTTCTATCTGAAGCCTAGTAAACATCTGAGCAGAGAAGCTCGAGCAAAGTGAAGGCACCAGTCTCGCAGATGTCTGCCAGAAGAGGAATCAGCAAACATGGAGGTTTTGAGGAGCGGTGACTCGCCCATTCAAGAACAGTCAAGAGGCAAATATGTCTGGAGCTGCATGCACTAGGGTCAAGTGGGCAGTGATGAAGGAGAGGTACTAGGGAAGATCATGTGGGCCTTCAGATTTTATTCTACAGAGGTCTTAGAATGTGCCTTGTAGAGGGATAAAGTGATGTGACTTAAGTTTAAAGGTTCATTCTTCCTTATGGAGAGAACAGAGTCCAAACTTTAAGAAAGGCGGCAGGGAGATTGGTTAGGAAGTGGTGGTCCTGGTCCTGCAGGTGAGGGGTGATGACCTGCTAGCAATGAGGTGGAGGGAGATTTGGAGGTAAAATCCATGGGACATGTTGATTATGTGTGGAAGAACACAGTCAAGGATGGTTCCAGGGCTGATAGATAACTGGTCTTGACGAGTTTATAGAGGTTTTCTTTGAGCTGTGTGGGGAGTTGTTTATTATTATTATTATTATTATTATCATCTTTTTTTTTCTTTTTGAGACAGGGTCTTGCTGTGCAGTTCAGGCTGGCCTTGAGCTCACTTTATAGCCTAGGCTGTCCTTGAACTGTAGGCAGTCCACTTGCCTCAGCCTCCAGAGTGCTGGGATTACAGGCATGTGCCATCACACCCAGCTGTTTCTGTAATTTAAAGCAATAGTTTTTTTTAAAAAAATAAGGTCTTGCTATATAGCTAACCTTGAATTCATTATGTAGTCAGGACTAGTCTGAAACCTGTGATCCTCCTACCTCAGCCTTCCAAGTGAGATTACATGTATGGTCCACCAGCCAGGCAAGGTGGTTTTTTTTTTTTGTACTGGGTATTGAACTCACAACCTCATACTTGCCAGGCAGGTGCTGTGCTGCTGAGCTATATCCCAGGCCTGCAAGGTTATTTTTAAATTAGAGTTAACAGTGATACTACATATAATCAAAATCTCTCTTTTTTGGGGGTACCAGGAATTGAACTCAGAACCTTGCGCTTGCTAGGCAGATGCTGTACTGCTGAGCTATATCCCTGGCCCAAAATCTAAATCCTAATGTGTTCTCCTAACTCTTTGGATACGGGGCTGGAGATTTAGCTCAGCGGCACAGCGCCTTCCTGGCAAGTGCAAGGTTGTGAGTTTGATTCCTGATACTGGAGAAAAACAAAAAACAAAAAACAAAACTAACTCTTTGGATATTAGAAAAGAATTTCTATGATATAAACTTCCGGAATTTTGTCTTTTTCTCCTAGTGATCGGCCTTTGTATCTTTCCCACATCTGAAGATGGTGAAGCTAGATATTCATACGCTGGCCCATCACCTCAAGCAGGAGCGCTTGTATGTGAACTCTGAGAAGCAGCTCATTCAGAGGCTCAATGCAGATGTGCTTAAGACTGCTGAAAAGTTGTATCGAACAGCATGGATTGCGAAGCAACAGAGAATTAATTTGGATCGGCTTATCATAACCAGGTAAAGATTTTCACATCATGTATTTTGTGAATTAGTACAATTCTGTGCTGATTGCTAACAGTAACTGAATGAATCTGTTCTCAACACAGTACATGCTACATACTTTAAATCAATGTTAAGGCACGTCTTTGCTCAGAAAACATGTATACTTTATTAGTTAACTTAAGTGTGGTTATAGAAAACCATAGGTTAAGCATTAACATTTTACATGACACTAAATTAGTTTTACGTCTTT